TAAGAAGCTTTCTGGCTACAAGATCATTACCCAAAATGCAATTACATTGGTATATATCAACCACAATCAATTAGAAAGTACAATTTTTAAGAGATGCCATTTAAAATGTCATTTATAAGTCACTTAGGAATAGATTCATCAAAAGTAGGACATGTCTGTGATGAAGGTTTATTGAATGATATTAAGGTTAACCTAGTTAAATGGAGATCAGACCAGGCCCTTGGTTGCTCTATGCAGTATTGAAAAGATGTCCATATCCTTTAAGTGGATTCACAGAATTAATGAAATTCCAATAAAAATTCCAGCAGGATTTATTTTGTGTAACTTGATGAATTGGTCCTAATAAATATATATTAAAGAGTAAAGGGCTAAACATAGGAGATCCAAACACAAAAATCAATTCAAGGAATCAAGGTAGGCTAACACCTTAAACAGGAAATGGCACAAACATCAAAGCTTAGAAGCCAGTATCTGGGAATGTGTTTATAACTGGCACAGAGCCAGAAGCCACAAAGAAAAATGTTGAAAACTTTATTACATTAAATGTGAAATTGTATGTTTTCTGAAAAACACTGAGTGAAAGGAAAACCCGAAATTAGAAGATATTTGTCAAACATATAATTTAGAAAAGAATTAGAAGTAAAGTCTAGTGTGGCTCAGGACTGCCATCACAGTGCTCAGAATGCAGAGGTTCATGAGTTTAAGACCAACCTGAGCTACATAGAAAGTTCCGGGCCAGCTGGGCTACAGAGCAAGATGTTGTCTCAAAAAAACAAAATAAAATGAGCATTACAAAGACAAAGACTACCTAAAGAATGAAAAGACCACTAAAAGAAGCCATCTCAACTGAAAATTCGGCAAAGGTCCTGATTAATCAATCTCTTTGATCAAAGTGGTTCGTAATAATGTGAAAAGACGTTCACCCTATTTGTAGTCAGAGAAGAAATTAAATCCACAGTGAGATACAATCTCACATTCACTTGTTCCATATGGTCCAGAAACCTTTTGGTTTCTAGTAAGTGAGTTTATTAAGTTAAGTGTGCATGTCTTAGTTTGGTTTCTGTTGCTGTGATAAAACACTGACCAAAAAGCAGTTTGGGGAGGAAAGGGTTTATTTTGTCTCTTATCTCCCAGGTCACAGTTCATCACTGAGGGAAGTCAGGGCAGTAACTCAGGGAAGGAACCTGGTAGCAGGAGCTGAAGCACAGACCACAGAGGCATGCTGCTTACTGGCTTGCTCCCCTGACCTGTGCTTAGCCTGCTTTCCTATACAACACAGGATCACCTGCCAAAAAATGGCACCACTCACAGTGGGCTGAACCTTTCCTACCACTCAATAATCAAGAAAATGCCCCATAGATATGGCCGCAGGCCAATCCAATGGGCATAATTCCTCAGCTGCGGTTCCCTCTACCTAGGTATGCCAAGTTGGCAGCTGAAGCTATCCAGCACAATTGATCCCTTGTCAACTTGACATACAAATACATCACTATTAAACCACAACCTGGCTGGAGACATGGCTCAGCAGTTAAGAGCACTGACTGTTCTTGCAGAGGACCCGGGTTCTGTTCCTAGCACCCACATGGTAGCTAACAACCATGCATAACTCCAGTTTCAGGGGATCCAACACCCTCTTTTGACCCCTGCATGACACGGGTCTACTTACAGAGTGTATCGCAAGCAATACACTCACACACGTAAAAATAAAAATAATAAATTAAGTATATATTTAAATCACAACCTTTCCATTTCTTATCCCCAAGCTATGATATTAATATTACAATATAAAACATCACAGCTTTAAAAGTCCTACAGTCTTGCCAGGTGTGGTGGCGCATGCCTTTAATCCCAGCACTTGGGAGGCAGAGGCAGGTGGATCTATGTGAGTTCAAGGCCAGCCTGGTCTATACAGTGAGTTCCAAGATAGCTGGGGCTACAGAGAGACACTGTCTCAAAAAGACCAAAAAAAAAAAAAAAACTTTACAGTCTTGAAAAAATTCAAATACTTTAAAAGTTCAAAGTCTCTTCAAAAATTCTCCTAGCTGTAGGCTCCTGTAAAATCCAAACAAGTTACATATCATCTTATTTCAAAAGGGAAGAAATGAGCATACTTAGGTTAAACCAAAGTCCAGCAATGCAGCTCAATCTTGGGCATCTTCACTCACGATCTTCTGGGCCCCAAAGGGCTTGGGGAGCTCTACTTCTCTGGCTCTGCCATTCACAGCACATATAGCTTGTCTCATAGGCTCAGGCCAGCTCTACTCTTATATCTGCCACTGCCCTTGGTGAGTGTCCTATGCCTCTGGTATCTCCAATATCTGGGGTCTCCATTGCAACTGATAGTGCACCTTCACCAACGGCCTCTCCTGGTCTCTCAGGGTGCCAAGCCTCAGATTCTCTCCATGACCCCTTCACATTTTCAACCCCAGTACCACTTGGAGGCTCTTACATATTGCCGAGTTCTGCTGCCAGTTTGATATGCAGCCTTGGCCCCCTCTGGACCACAGCTTCTGTGTGCTAACCCTGAGGAAAGAGTTCCCAGAAAATTTCACTTAATGATGCTGATCTCTTGTTATTCACAGCTGATTTTTTTGGCCCCAGCTGACCAGCACCAATTATCCTAGTAAAGCACAAAAAGTTTCACTTCTAAAAATTCTTAATTAAAAATATATCATACAAACATCTCTTGAAGAGTCTTTGGTTCCTTTTGAAGCTTCGCAGTCAGATCTCCATGGCCTACCCCTCTTTCAGCATTAACTTCCAAGTTCTTACAGAACAGTTCACTGAGCTCCAAACACTTTCCAGTCCAAATTTCAAAAACTTCCACAATCCATATGATCAGGCCCATCACAGCAATATCCTACTCTCTGGTACCAGTTTCTTAGTTACTTTCCATTGTTGTGATTAAAAACACTAATCAAACCAAGTTGGGGAGGAAAGAGTTTATTTGGCTCATGGTTCATCATCAAGGGACGCCAAGGCAGGAACTCAGAGCAGTAACCTGGAGGCAGGAGCTGAAGCACAGACCATGGAGCAACACTGCTTACTGGCTTCCTCCCCTGGCCTGTGCCTACTTTCTTATACAATTCAGGACCACCTGCCCAGGGGTGGCACAGTGGGCTGAACCCTCAGTAAATGACCCACAGGCAAGGCCACAGGTCAATCCAATGGAGGAAATTCCTCAGTTGAGGTGTCTTCTATCTAGGGGCGTCAAGTTGACAATTGAAGCAGTGTGGCAAGCAAAAGTAAGAGAACAAATAGCAAGCACAGAGAGCAAAACCTCATCAAATCAAATACTTATACTATCCAGCAGAAATGACTGCAGTGGTCCAAGAGAGCAAATAAAATGAAATAAAAAATAGCGAGTGGCAGATGGAAAACATCAAATCTGGTGCCTACTACATCCAGCAGAAACTGGGGAAGTTCCAGTGAAGCAGTCAGCTAACAATCCTCCATAACACCAGTTCCAGCGGATCTGACACCGTTTTCTGTCCTCCTCGGACACTGCAAAACACAGTGCACTTACATACATGCAGGCATAACACTCATACACATGAAAAAAATGCCTTTACCTTAATTCTTAAAACTCCTTATTCCTACCTTTGAATTGTACTATTAAAAAAAAAAACACAACTCATGTTCCAGGGGCCTAATGCCAGATGACAATTTAGCAACTTGGTAAAATGATGCCTTTATGGGGCTGGAGAGATGGCTCAGTAGGGAGTAGTTGCTGCTCTTAACAGAAGACCCAAGTACAGTTACAGCATCCATGCTGGGTGGCTCAAACTGCCTGTAATTCCAACTCCAGAGAATCCGATGCCTCTGACCTCCTTGGGCACCTGCACTTACACACACACACACACACACACACACACACACACACGCAGATGCACACACACACACACACACACACACACACACACACATGCACACACACACTTTATAATTAAAAATAATAAATCTTTTAAAAACTGCCATTGTTTCTTTAAACTGTTCTTCCCCTAGGCCTGACCTATATGAACAAATACAGTTAACTAGAAAAATGAGCTGAAAAGGGCCTCAAAGAAACCTTATCCCACTGCCAGTCTTGCTCTCCCTTGCAGTCTGAAACTGTGGCAGACTGGGGGGTGGAGGGCAGGGAGAAATTCTGTGTTGCTTAACAATTAGAAGGTTCACCGATTTCATGGAATTGAACTGTTGACTGCTGGTACAAGACACTTCCTGTGCTTGAGAATCCAGAAAAGCTATAGAAATAGCCTGAATTCACATAAGGACACGGGGAAAAGCCCACAGGAAGGGTTTGAAGGAACAGTAGAAGAGAGAATAGAGAGGCTTTCTGATGACGTCTTGTGGTCCAGTTTGTTTAAATCATAGGTATACATGCAGTTGTACTATGTATGAGGGTCTCTTCTCTATCCCTGCATGTGCTACAGAGAGTACGTTGTACTTGAAATGAGTGACAGTATTTGCAACTTAATAGAATATCATAGGCATCAGGCCCTCTTTCCTAATGATCTAGCACTCAAATATATTTCTTGAGGAAATGAGTTGGGACCACTGTACAAGCATAGATAGCAAGAAACTACAATTCTGTGTCTTAACAGGCATCGAGGCAAAGATGCCAGATGATACGAGGTCCAAACTGAAAGGGATTATCTGCCTGCTTTGCTCACCACTGCTGCCTTGGGGGCTTGAACTGTCCCGGAGGTAGGGAATGAAAATATTTGTTGATGGATGATGCATGGACCACCAAGGCGCAGAAAGGAAGATGGGAAATCGGGCTAGCTTTTGTCTCTCCAGGTGTGCGTAGCAAATGTTACTTAACTACAGTCCAAACAAGTTTCTAGAAGGGGTCAGGAACCTATGACAGAGAGTTAAGGTTCAGCTTAATAAGGAGACCCAGCCTCACCAAAGCCAGCTAGTGGGAAATGAATGGGTTGTGGGTGATGCAAGGAATGGTTCCTGGAAAGCTCTTTATATATGAAACAAACCACAGGAAGTTTTGTTCAAGTTCTTCATGGAGAATATCTTTATTTATATTCCTTTTGCATTCTCTAAAACGCACAGTGTGTGTTTCATCTCTTCAATCACATTTGTGGGGCCGGTCAGTTTATTGGAGAGCTTTGGAAGGTCTTCAGAAACGTTGCCTTAGGTTTCAGCTAAGTGAGTCACAGAGATTGGTCATGAGCTACTACAAAATTACAGGAGGTCTAGTTAATATTATTCAACAGTTACTAGAAAAGCTTTAAGAACACTCGACGCATAGCCAGACGCAGTAAGAGAGAAGCAGATGCTACTGAAGCAGTAAGATTTCCATATACATGGCTCTGTGTACAGTATCAGAATCCTTTAACAGACAGTGCATGTACGTTTAAATCATTACTTTTTGTTTGTTTGTTTGGGGTTTTTTTTTTTTTTTTTTTTTGGTCTTTTTGAGACAGGGTCTTCCTGTAGCCCCAGCTGGCCTGGATTCGCTATGGAGACCAGGCTGGCCTTGAATTCACAGAGATCTGCCTGCCTCTGACTCCCGAGTGCTGGGATTAAAGGCATGCGCCACCACGCCTGGCTTTAAATCATTATTTTAAGGGCACTCTAATACAAATGTCTTACTAAATTTTACCTTTTCTCTTTGGCTCACAAATGCACGAAAATACCAGAACTTATTTCATTACTATATAAAGAAGATACATTACAAATGGGAAGAAAATACAAGGTGCCTCTTTAACATGGTAAATCTCTGAATATAAATAAGCAAATATTTCACCGTCATACAATTAAACAGTTACTGAAATCATCACATGTATCCCTTCCCCACCCCTAAGGTCAGACAACAGTGATATACACAGTCTACACAAATTAATCTCTAAAAATACAGCAACAGCACACTGGAGATGATGACTAGGCTGTTTTCCCTAGCAGGGATCTAACAGGGAGGGCGTGACGCTTCCCAACTAGTGGTACTTTTCGTCATCCATCACTCCTTCAGGTGGGTGCTACACTGACCAGGAGGTCGACTCCCATAAGCAGCCTTTCCCTTGGTCCATAAGACACAGCAGTGAAGTGCTATCTGTCCTGCACAATGGGTAGACCCTCAGAAACAGTTGGAGGTGAAGCAAATTCTTTGGGGACAAGAGACATGCTGTGGTCTAGGACTAAGCCATACTCACTATACATGTATGTATATATAGAGAGGTATATATAACTGTACATATATACTGCATTCCTAATGTGCAACTTTTACAAAACGAACATTATTTCCTGCTAACTCTAACAAATAAGCTTAAGTGAGGTTATGACAAAGATTCTTCAGGAGAGTATAATTTCCTTCAATGAAATGGCCTACGTGTGTCAGCAACTGATGGAGCTTTGTTGTAGGGTGCTAGAGGGAAAAGGGGATGGCTGCAGGTTCTGCAAAGGGGGATTATAGATCCTGGCCCAGCCTTTCTATCTCCTCAATGAGGAAGTCGATGTCGGACTGGGTAGCAGCTGGGTTGGAGATGACCATCCGAAAGAAGTTGGCTTTGTCCCCCTGAGGCTGGTATCCGACCATGGTTGTGCCTGACTCCATCATCAGGGCTTTGATCTTGGGAGCCACCTTGTGATGGAAAACATAAAACCAAATTCAACACTGATAGTGATACCCCCTCTTTTTAACAGTTCAATTACTTTTGCTTTTTACTGCTTGGATTAAAACATTTTTAAGGTTTTATTTAACTTTACGTGTATGAGTGTTTTGCCTTCATGTATGTAAGTGCACCACATGTATGCCTGGTGCCTACAGAGGCCAGAAGGTGTGGGATTCCCTGGATCTGGAGTAATGGACGTCGTTAGCCACCATATGGAGTGGTCTCCAACCACTCCCCTCCAAAGTATTTTAGATCCAAGTGTTTTTAGTGGCTAATATCCAAATCCATCCAATCATAAGTTCCTTTTGAAAGGAGCTGGCAAGTAAAATTTTAAAGTCATGGAATAATGATAATAAAATAAATAAAGAAACAAAGACAGAAAACACTGTAAATTAAGGTTGTATGTAACCTGGAGCTCAAGCTATTGCCTGGCACACAAGCAATGCCTAACAAATATTTGTTCAATGGCTGCATGAGTGACATGTTGCATAAATATACCAACAACTCTGAATATGTAAGCTGGATATAGAAATCATCAGAGAAGGATATGGAGAGATGGCTAGATGATTAAGAACACGAGTTTTTCTTGCAGAGGACCTGGGTTCAGTTCCCAGCACCCATATGACAGCTAATGACCATCCTTAACTCCAGTTTCAGGGGCTTCAACCTCTCTTCTGACCACCAATGGGCATGGCACCCACATGGCACACTTACATAAATGCAGGGAAAACACTCATACAGTTAAAATAATAAAAAAGTAGGAACATAAAAAATAAATTTATAAAAGGAAATCAACAAAGATGAATCCGCATAGAGTAGGCTTGGATTTAGTAGAAGGTAGAAGTTCAGAGAAAGGTGAGTATTATTTACTTGCTTAGGGGACCCTGTGACGAAGAACACCAACCTAAGGTGGGACTGCATCTTACAGGTGTTTCTGTTGTGTCTAAACCACAGCAAGCTGACAACCCCAGACATATAAATCATGATGGCTCCTCAACACTCCATTACCTAGAAGCCTGCCCTAGGCTTTGTTTCTTATCCCTTTCCCTTTAGAATAGCACATCAACATGAGGATGGCCTGACTGGCCAGGGGAACTGCAGAGACAGAAAATGAGTCCTTACCCTGTGTAGTTTTTCCCGTCGCTCAGGACTATCTGGAACTCCGCGGAGACTTTGTGGAATATACCAGAAACAGACATTTGTGTGCTCAGGCTGCAGAGATTTCAGGAAACAAGCAAGTAAACAAAAATAAAATAATGAGCACTTGATAGACAGTCATAGGTGCTTTGGGAGGAAGTTCTCAGTCAAGAAAAAAAAAAAAAAAGGTCTGAATGACTTATCTCCAAAGTACTGTGACATGCGAAAACACCAGGCAGGAAAATGCCCATTTCTCTGGTTATATCTGCCAGGGTGCTGCCTCCCCAACTCCTGACCAGCTTTCTAGATATCTCAAGCAACTGCCTCTGCATCCTGAAATGTTAAAAATAATAACATTTGGGTAGCTGAGAAAAGGGATCTCCTTATCTGGCTATCTGTAGCATCTTACAAATGGAAAATGCCCTGAAGTTCACTTTACTGATACTGTTTGGTTGTTGAAGGCATAGTTTTGCAGTTTCCTCCTTCACTGCTTGTCAGCACCATGTCTCCCTGAAGCCTGCTTGAGACATAACAGCTCTCATTTCAGCCTTCTAGGAGAATGTTTAAACTAGCGTAAAGACTCAGAGGAAAGCCCCACAGTGAGGTCCACTAAATGTTGACTCACTGCTCAGCGTTCTGGTGTTCATTTGGTGACTCTCCAATGTTATCCTGAGGGGTGACATCGCCTCATAAATAGACAAATGTCAGATATAGATGGTGGTCTATGACAGTGGGTTAAGAGCAGCCTTTCTTTTGTTAACATGGGATGTGATTCCATCTTTCCTTATTCGACTGTGGACTCCACTAGGGAAGACATAGTATTTGTTTTGGCCAGTACTCTATAATCCAGCATCTGGCATGGGTCTGGCACTTCAGGAAACACTGTGTGACAAGTATTTTCCTGTGTGTAATGGGAGTGAGAAGCTAGGCAGAGACAGTTTATCCTGCTCTCTTCATCATCAATCTATGGTGAGCAGATGTTCATTTAGAGCCAATTTTGGAAGGTGAGGATATGTCTGTCCCTCTAGGCTTCTTGGACTTGGGAGACATTTATCATAGATGGAGTCCAACACAAGACAAAGCCAAGAACTATGAGGGACTCAGACCTGCCATGGAAACACCCTAGGTGTTGGCAGAGAACTACCCACTTCAGAATCCAGCTTCTTAAACTGTGCACTGCACCCCTGTATGGGGCTGGATAATTGAATGTGGGAGTTGTAAAAAGTTTCTGAGCTACATGATCAAAAACGAACCTGAAATCAAACATGCTTTGAATCTGGAGTGATGCTAGCTGTGCTGGCCTGTGTTGCAACCCTTCACTTCACTGCAGCCTTGGTTCTAAACATACAAAATGTTCACTTTGCACTGCATATGCCTTCATGTCGCACAAGGCCAATGTGTTCATTGCTACCTTAAAGACTTCGGCACAAATTCTAGACCACTGCATGCTGTGAACAGGAGTGTTTCTCTGGGCTTATAGAAAATGATTTAATTACAGAAAAAAAAGACTTTAATATTTTCCTATGGTCAATCTGCTAGGCTATAGTATATATTTATGCAAAGCACTGCTAGTTATAAAATCAAAATATTGATCAACTCTGATAAATGTTGAAGATGCTTTGTGTCTTATAGTATCATGTGTTCAGTCAAGATTTAATACTTTATGTAAGAATAAATGGGGACATCCATCTCATTAGTATGTGAATTTGCTTTCATCATTAATATAGGGTAAAATTGTCTAGTAGAGAACTTTTTTAAAAAACTGATGATTCAACATCAATATAGCTATTCTTTAATACCTATATACTTGGGGTTATATAAAAGTTTATTGGGTGAAATTTCCTGTGAGTGGGAAAAGTTTAAGAAGTCCTGTTTCAGATGAGGTGACGGGGAAATGTGACCCCAGCACCACCTGTAGGAATGCTGAGCATGTGGGAGTTGGGTGAAGAAGGCACATGAATGAAAACTCAGAAGCAGCTTGAGCCACTAAGGCTTCCAAGGCATTCCTCATGGTTTCTAGGAAGCACTGTGCATCTGGCTCATGATGATAACATACCTCGCCGTCGAATACCATCTCAAATTCTTCTCTGTTTTTAATTTTGGCATAGAGGTATTCAGCCAGCTCCAAGCATTTGTTGATCTGATTTTCAAATCCCACAGTGCCCTGTTTTAAAGAGGAAGGTCATGTTTATTGGTATCAAGTTGCATTTCACTGTGATGGTCATTTGGGGGAGGCTGTGTTGTCCTTCCACACACCAATTCTGTTATTGTTTATGGGACATACAGAAAAGAGCATTCTTGGAGATGGTTTGGAAGGAATAATTAATCCAACATGGATGTCTTCTTCTAAGGGCTAAATGAAGAGTCCTGCTTTCTCTTTGGAAGGCCCCCTGAATTATTCTCAATAGGGCTTGTAACTTCCTGTCAGTTATTCACAATCTGCATTTGAAGCCCATTCTGGTTTGCTTAAGATAAGGCTACTCAAACTGTCATATCTGGACTGAAGACAGTCTATAACATGATGGGATAAGTAAATAAATTGAGATTAACTACAAGTAAGCTTATGCTTTTAATTTTTTTTAAGTCTTTTTGTGACAGGGTCTCCCTGTAGCCTCAGCTGGCCTGGAACTTACTATGCAGACCAGGCTGGCCTTGATCTCGCAGAGATCTGCCTGCCTCCGCCTCCTGAGTACTGGGATTAAAGGCTTGTGCCACGTGTTTACATTTTGTGTGTGTGTGTGTGTGTGTGTGTGTGTGTGTGTGCACGTGTGCCAGTGAGTGGAGCTCAGAGGACAATTTTGGGACTCAGATTCAGATTGTTAGGCTTAGCAGTGCTTCTGGTCCCATTAGGAAACTTTTAAAACAATTTACAGAGTGGTTTTTATGACTGCTGATGCTAATAATGAATAGTGACTTCTGATTTGTGTTTTATATTTCATTTTCCTAACAATTTCATATTGGTCCATGATAGATAAAAGGAACTAACAACTAATTCTTCATCATAGATACTTTGACAGAAACTTAGAATGAATCTTCTCCAGTCATATGTCCTTGTCAAACCATCCTCATAGGTAACTTGCCTTCCACATAACATAGTACAGTTCCTTTCCAATGACAGGACAACTACTGGTCTCAGAACATGCCCCGAGACTGCATTAGCTCCAACTAGTGGCAAACTGACTGAACATGAATTTCAAAATCCAGCGTAGCTGATTAGCAGCACATAGGCTGATGAGTGGGCTGGTGTTAAGAACAGATGCACAAGGCTGGCTTGTGGACCACTGATGGGCCTGGGCAGAATCCAGAGCTGGCAAAGCACTCTCCAAGTGGTGGGACTGCTGACTGCCCCTTCCGAAGAAATCCCACTCCAGGAAATCACCTCCACAACACATATCCCAGGGGCCAAACCTCCTGGGAACAGTTCAAGAAATTACTGCCAGGCAAAATGAACACATAATGACAGAGACAGGCCATGTGGTCATTATAGCAGTGTAAAACAATAGAGTGCTTTCTCTTATTGCAGTGTAAGACATTTATATGCTCAAAATGCCTATAATTACTTTGTGATAGAAATCAAATTCAGACTCTATATTAAGGCAGGATGACTTAATGAGGAAAAAACTGATCATCTGCTAAACCTTTTTTACAGGAGGAGTTAAATATCTGACTAGTTAGTGCTGTAAAACTTTATTGTTTGTGGATTTAGATAGTTCAAATATTTACCATGGAAATTATTAAAATTAATAAATAGTAGGTAAATAAAAACAATGGATTGATATAAGGCTGTGAAATCAAAACTGCCTTTAACTTCATTGTATAAAAACACTTCTGAAACAGTCACATATAATCTCCCTTCCTTATATTTTGGGAGAAATTCCTTTACTTAGCTTTTTCCCTAGGCACAGAAATGCAGCCTAAGAAGACAATGACTGCAGACAGTGTGCTTCAGTCTAGTGGCAGTTCTCAGAATCAGGAGCGGTTCTGATTCCCCCCACCCCACAGTACCACATATACAACAATGTACACACAGCACCACACACATATACACAGCACATACACACACACACACAAATACCACATATACAACAACAATGTACACACAGTACCACACACACACACTCACACACAAAACAGGTATACATACAGCACCACACATACACAGAGTAATACACAGAGCAACATACACACACAGTACCTCACATACATACACAACAACACATACAGCACTACACACACACATACACACACAGAATACTATAAATACACATAGCATCACACATATACATACAGCACTATACATACAGAGCAGTACACACACATACTCAACACCACAGATACACATGCACATAGAGAACCACATACAACACACACACACACACACACACACACCCGCACAAACACACACTATGGAG